ATCTCTGTCCGAGAACATTTTTCGACATACCTGTACCCGCAAAAATGTTCGTATGTATCGTTGTTCGTAACTCGAATGTTCGTAAGTCGGGGAGCGTCTGTATATGTGTGTGTGTGTATACCAGGTCTGTCAAACTTTCTAATGTAGTCGGACAAAACATCTCAGTTCAAGTCCTTTTCCTCGAGCCATGACCACTTGAACGTGTTCCTAACACTCGCGTCTATTGCACGTAATTCAGCTTGCCTGTCTACCTATTTGAACATTGCTCTGGGGCCGTACCTGGCTGATCACACATGAATTAGTTCACACAAAATGCTATTCAAATACTCGACATTCAATGATTAATCTGCCTTTTATGTGCACACGTGCACACTTTGTGGCTTCCGTTCTCGCCGAAATTTCGAAATCTCCGAGACATGGCGAGGCCATGAGAATGCGAGGGGAGGGGTGTTACTGTAGTGTTCGTGCCTCAACATGGCTACGTTCGTGAAAACAAAACAACAAACTCAAACGCGCCTTTGTTCAATGTTGTCAACTAATATCCGGATTAATTTTAGGCAATTTTTTCCTCAACTTTCCAGAGGAAATTTCATGAAAATTTGAAAATCCAGAATTCCGGGAAAATCCGGAGGACTTTCATGTCTAATAAATAAAACTCCAATGTTAAATCATGAAAAGCGACTGGGCCAAAATCCAAACAAAGCAAGGTGCAAGTGTCTTTACGCTAGTCATTAGCCAATATACTTTGACTACGTGGTAATTAGTGTAGAATTTGCGTGGTAACATGAAATAATTTTATTGCTATTTAATTTGACACTGCATTTTACAGTAATTGCATTGCTCACATAGGCAGACCACCATTCAGACTCACACTGGAGCTTATGGACAGTTCAGAATCCTCAATGAACATCACAGTGGTTTTTGGAATGTTGGAGGAGGCTGCACACAAGGGTTCTCAGCCGAATTGACACCTCTGGACCTTTCCTGGACGTGCTAAATACCAATTCATATCGTCGCAGTTGTCCTCTAATAAGAATCTATGTATTTAGCACAGGCACTCCTACATTCAGATAACATAGGTAAATTCACTGAAGACTAAATTGTCTCTTGTGTTGAAGTCTCAAATTAATAAGATAAGAAAAACCTTTATTTGTCCCACAATGGGGAAATTTGCAATCTACAAATATTTTAAGAACTGGGTCGTCCTTTGGAACCCCTGTTTATCTTAGCTTTGTCCAAATCCTCTTGATTTCAGCCTCTCAACAGTAAATATGCTCAGATAAATGTATTCCTTTATGAAAGCAGACTGATTATATCTTTTGTGCTTAAGCAAAATAAGACATGAGCAAATCTGCTTTTTTGGAAAACAATGAGTGAACCAGTAACTGGTTCAGTTTCAAAAGGATGGGTGAGAACAACAACAATCCCTCTCATGTCATATTGCTTAGTTGTTCAGTTATTTCTTCTTAATCACAAAACAATACTAAAGTAATATCAGTAATTGGTGAATAATCAGGAAAACTATTTGATTAATCGACCAAATGATTTTGACCAAATTCTAAAAATAGTCGATAGTGACAGCCCGATACGCAACCTGCTGTTGGCTGGCGAGCGGTCCAAGCGTGTACCTCACCTCTCACCCCCAAGCCGGACAGGATACGCTCCAGCTCACAAATAATCCAAATGAGGACATGTGCTTTAGAAGATGTATGGAAAGATGGATTTCTTTCAAATAGTACTGTGAAGTCAGACTACAGTTCAATATCAGCTTCTATTACCATTACAGTTGTTCGGGAAACCTTGCGTGTCTCCTGTTTTTCATTTGACGATTGAGGCATATTTTGCCAAAAATGTTTGGAGGTTGAACTATAAGCATTTTCATCCATTTCCAGTTTATCCTCACAAGGGTCGCGGGGAGTGCTGGAGCCTATCCCAGACGTCTTCGGGCAGTACGCGGGGGACACCCTGAACCGGTTGCCAGCCAATCACAGGGCACACAGAGACGAACAACCATTCACGCTCACACTCACACTTAGGGACAATTTAGAGTGTTCAATCAGCCTGGCATGCATGTTTTTGGAATGTGGGAGGAAACCAGAGTACCCGGAGAAAACCCAAGCAGGCATGGGGAGAACATGCAAACTCCACGCAGGAAGGTCGGAGCCAGGATCAAACCTACAACCTCTGCACTGTGAGGTCGACGGGCTAACCACTGGACCACCGGGCCGCCCAACTATAAACACGCAAAAAATAAATTTTTGATTGATGAAAATTAGCCAAAATACTCATGCTCCATGTACCATAACAGAACCTTCTGTTTCTTTAACCTTGTCTGTCACAATAAGGGCAAACGGGCTAGGTGTAAAAATAAATAGAACTAAATAAAGAAATAACACAATGTGTGCTTGTTACTCCCAAAATTGCAAACTGCTCAGCTGAGAAGATGTGCTAATGATTGTGATCAGTTTGCTAATTAATTCTGCAAGAAATAAGACTGGCTGACTGGGTGGCTGGGGGAATCTGCAGTGCGCCCCGCATGAGCGCTAAACAGAAGGCTGAAGCATCGCTGTGAAACAGCCCGTTGCGGAGAATTATGGGGAGGGGGGTGAGGTTTCCAAGCGCATGTGGGGTACATTGCAGCTATATTCCTGCCGCACACCTTATCCTAAATAACCCATTTGCCGCTTCGTCAGGTGACTTTTGCAGCAAACTCCTGTATGTCTTAAACAAAGGGGGGAAGGAGGAGTGTATACGGCCTTAAAGAACACCCCTGGAGGCCCTGCAAACCGTATGGATTCAATTAAAAAAGAAAAAAAAGTGACCTAGTCCACGGCGGCCGGCTGCCGAGAGTGCAGTTGCCGCATCTTTCGCCAGGCATTTAAATGAGCAAGAGGCCCAGTGGCTCGCTCATCGTTACCTGATGAACTAACAGCTCCGCCACCTCCACATGGTTGTTGAGGGCCGCCAGGTGCAGTGCCGTGTAGCCGTCGTCCTTCTTCTCGTCAACGATCCAGGGCCGAGGCAGTTTGGATAGCAACACGCGCATCGCACTGCAGAGAGAAGAGAAAAAAAAAAGGAACGGTGAGCGGACGAGTTAAGGGAAAGCGCTCAAATCAATTGGGCAAAAGGTCTCAATTAATGATCGGAAATGTCAAAATTAATCCAGCTGCGTCTAAATATTAAACGGCGGGGATCGGTTGAGGTGATGTAAACAAAAAGTTTGCAAGGTTCGAACATCAGATACACAGCATGATCCATTTGCGCTGCATTCCATTTTCATACATGGCTAAAAGCGCATTTAATCAACTTAAAGGACGAGTGGCTCTCCCAACAGCGCCGTTATTTACAACTCGCACGAAGATTAATCAGGGCCGTCTGATGACAACTGTCACATTTCCATAATAAAAAACTGTTTTCCAGGCAAAGTGTTCCATACAAATATGCAGCAAAATGACAGATTTAGTGCATGAGACATAAATCTATGCTTTCACAGCCCTCACTGGATGCTGTACGCGTACGTTTAATATTTCAAAATGTTTCCACGGATCTGTGTTCCCCGCTTCTTGTGACGAACACATATTTATGAGCTGCTTATGTTGGAAACGACAACTCGCAATGCCATGAAGCATTGCATTGATATTTTACACTGAAATCACCATAAGTCACAGTTTAATGGCTTGATTTTGATCCTGGTTCAGCACAAAAATGTACTTTTGCTGTCCCTAGGATTCAAGGTTGTCGGCGGTCAGTTTATTGTTACAGGCGGTTTATTATCAAAACAAATAATGGCCATCATCTAGTCTTAAATTGAGTGAATGGGGGGGGGGGGTCTGAGGCGAAAGACAGTCCTGGTAGCCAATGGAATCACCACCATATTATTATTGGTCCAGCTCATCTATTATCTACAAGTGTTTTTCATTCAAATATTGACTAACAATTCCATTTCGAGTTTCGGAGTGCGGCAAAATGAACTAGTCTGCACAGCAGTGTGAGAATACCTTGTCAGGCCACATAAGACACGTTCAGTTCCAGCTAAACTTACAGATTTTCCATTAGTTTTTTTCATACGGTCTTATATGATCTAGAAGTGTTTTCAGTACACATATTTATAGCATGATGTGTTGAGGTTATGCACGGCGAGTGACAAATGACTTTTTTTGTGAATTAACAGGCTATTTTGACAGCTCCATATATACTACGAGAGGTCGGCAATGTACAGCTGGTGGGCCATGGACCAGCAAATGTGATCCAGACCACCATTCAATTGTTAAAATGAATAAAAGCTCAGAGGAGTCTTCAAAAAATTTATAATATAGAGTACCAACATTTCGATGTTATGATGTTATGAATGTTGCACAGTGAACTAGTTAGCACAGCAATACGGAGTCATGTGGGACAAGAAGGCAGACTTGGCTACTTTCGTATATTGATACTTTTCATTTGATTGTTTTATATTTAGGATCTTAAAGTGCTTTGCATAAGAACATTTACTCTAATTATGACTCCGCATCTGCCTCAGCATAACTGATGGTGATAGACCAAAATGAATAGTACAAATGTATGCACAACTTCTGCTTAGGGTGACAAATGGATGGAATTCCATTGTAAACCCGTAAAAAAAAAAAAAAAGACAACATAAAGCTTGCTTTTATTTTATTTGTTTTAACAATTATGATTTTCTCTCTCTCTCTCTTTTTTTTTAAAAACAATATGGAGATCCGGAGAGCAGCCCTGTTTCACTCCAGAAAAAAAAAGGGAAAAGCCGTTTGTTGCTTTTTTGTGACCCACCAAAGTGTCTCTCATCGGGAGGCAAAATCAATATTGTTTACACGCTGCGCTTTAACTTAAGTGCCCTGATGTGGTATGAAGGGGAGGCGGTTGCTTCTGCTCAACTGAAGGTCATTTGGAGGGTGCGTGCACACTGCAAAACTGAGTAAAATGAAGGAAGAGTCCCAGGACGCTTCAATGTCGCACTGTGTTATAAATAAAACCATAGACAGTAAACTTCGAATGACAACAATTTAGTGACAATGCATTGCAGCTTGAAGTCACTCTGTCTCTACATACCACCAGACTTTGTTTCAATCTGAAAACAAATGAACACTAAATAAAAAGGACTCATCCAATGTAGAGGGAAGGGTGTGATTGTGCAATTTGAAGGGCTGTGTATTTTGCCCAAAGAAGGTGTGAAATTGAATTGAAAATAACAAATCTAAGTAAAAGACTGGTAGGATCTCAGTGATCCCATTTGTGGGTAGGAACACGCTGTACCTTCAATAAGCATTAAAGCGGCCAGGACAGGAGTAACACTTGTGACCTTGATTAGTACCCAACAATCATGCAGAGCATATCTTTGAACTGCGGCGTTCTTATTCTTTTACTCTTCAATATAGCCAAGTAGCCCTTATGTGGGCTGTTTATGATGGAGGGTCCGTACGGAGGGGACACACACGGGTGATGGGGGGGGGG